TTCATCTTTGTTTACATATCCTCCTCCATTCTAAGTTTCTAACTTCTGCTTCTATTTTCTAACCATTGATAAAATACTTCCCAAGTTAAAAAGTATTCTGTTTCTTCCTTACCCTTAATTTTCAGTGTTAATCTATCCATTTCAGCACATTCTAATATTTTATTACATTTTCCTCTAGGTATATTTTCATTTTTCCAATTTTGTGCATATACAATTCTCACTGCTGTGACCTCATGTAAGATTAAATATGTATTTCTTTTTATTATATTTCTCTGGTAAAATACCCAAGAATGTCTCTGGTTTTAAGTCTATTTGTTGTTTTATCATTTCTTCTAACCACATTTTTATTTTTAACCAATACTTTTTTACCATAGGACAAGTCCACCACATATGATAATAAGAACCCAGTATCTGTTTATATTTCCAACATCTGGGAGATATATTTTGAAACATTTTTGCCATTCTTGCTGGTTGCAAATGCCACCTATAAAACATTTTGTAAAGATTTTCTTTATGGGCTGTTGACATCGTCAATTTATAGCTTCTTTCCCAGAGTTTTTGCCATTTGTCTAGTTCTATAGTGTATCCAAATTTTTGGACCATACTATCATAGTTTCTTTTACTTCTTGTTCTTCCATTTTACAAATTGATTTAACAAACTGATCTTAAAAGTTCATTTGGCAAGGGAAAAAAGCAAGAATAAAACTGAAAATGTTAGAAGAAGCTAAAAACCTAGGTTCTGACCTAGGCTTCACAAAATCACGAAGCAGACTCCTTGTCCCGACAAACCCCCTTTTATTTAGGCTAAAGTCCTGGCAAACAGTCTTTCAAGAGTGATTTACAATCGCAGACCTTATCAGGCTTGGAGAGTAGCCAGGCTGATAGCTTCCAAGCGCAATGCTGTAGCAGAAAATACTTGGCAAGGAGTCAGGAACAATCTTCACCCTAATTAAATGAACTAATTGTCTCCTGCAGATACCACTCCCCTTTTGCTCCTCTTTATTCCCAATGGGAGGGGCCATTCACTGTCTACCTGTGCCTTTACTCCCAAGTTGACCCTTGTTCCTTAACTGTTCCCTTCTCCTGGCAGCTATGTGCATGTGCACATTGGGAACAAGCTCCAGCTGTTCTTCTGCCCCACTGATCTCCGACTCTGAAGGCAGCTGATAACTGTCAGACGGCCGTGGCCCCATCTCTGCCTCCGATGCAAAGCACTCGTCAGAGCCTTCCCCAGAATCCAGGACTGGTCCATGTTCCTCCCCAACCTCCTCACTGTCCAAGTCTGCAAGGGGGGATTTGGGTTATCAGATTGGGAGCTGTATGACCAGGCCCCAGTGCTTACATGGGTGAAAGAATGGGTAAATCTGAGGAAGAAAAGAGTATTGACTTTAGAAGGACATGATTTACAATTGGGGTGATATGCATTCATGTGGTATGGTAAAAATAAAATACAAAGTTATTTTCAAAGACATTATACTAGAAATGCTTTATTTTCAGTATGGGAAAGAATTAAAGAGAAACATTATATGAAAATACTCATTTGGCTATCCACAATGGAAGCACCAGTTCATCCAAATGTAGTTGAATTGGGAAATATTACAAGATATAAAGATATTCTAAATGAAGAAGGGGAATTAAAATTGAAACAAGAACTGGGAAAACCAAGGAACTGATTTGGCCTGGTGGCCATTCTTCCAAATATAATCAAGATACAAGAAAGATGCAGAAATGTATGGATTCTATAAAGAACCTTTAGAACTAGATCAGATATTTTTAGGGACGGATGACAAATTAATAAAAAAAATAGCTACTTATTGAATTTTAAAATGGAAGAAGAACAGGTAAAAGAAACGATAGTATGGTCTAAAAACTTTGGGTACACCATAGAATTTGACAAATTATAAATTGACGATGTCAACAGCTTATAAAGAATGTTTATATAAAATGTTTTATAGGTGGCATTTGCCACCAGCAAGGATGGCAAAGATCTGGGGTGGGATTCTACCGGTTCCCACGGGTTCTATAGAACCAGATGTTAAGATTCTGTCCAGTTCAGAGAACCGGAAAATTGTGCCTGTCTGGCCTTGCCCCTTCCCCTCCCAAGGCTGAAGATATGTTGCTGAAGCTGCCGGGCTTTAAGCCTGGAGCAAAAATTCCTTTCTCTTCTACCCCACCCGCACACCCGGGGTTCTGTGCCTATCCCATTTGGAAGATATTGAGTTAGTTTTGCTGTTGCTGACTACCTCTTGCATGCTTCCTAAATGAGGTAGATGGAGTGGGAAGCAGCTGGTGTGTGGGGGTGTGAAATTAAGCCTCCTTCCTGTAAAATCCATTCAGAAAACAAAGGAGCAGATATGGTTTAACTCTGCTTCAGCCCAGATTGCTGGAGAGAAAGTAGTTTAACATTATTTAATTGACTAATTCATTGGAAATTGTTGTGTTATGGCTTTTCATGGGATGTAGCGCTTATGATGGGCTATAAACAGGTAATACTCAGCCTTAAAATTATGTTATGTAGGTAGAAAGGCAATTAGATTTGCCAGCCTTCCTAGGTATGATTTTCAGTAGTCAGTCCCTGCTGCTTTACACTACTAATATAATTAAACCAAATACCTATCTCTAAATTTAAGACAGCACTAACCCTAGAACATTTTAATAAACTAAGGAACAGCCATCCTGGAAGAGATTTTTTTTTTGGGGGGGGGTGACTTTACTGTTTAAAGCTGTGTCCTTGGGATGAAGGGGCAGTTTATATTACATTTTATAGATTAATCCACCAGTAGAAAATAGGTAACATCCATTTGAGGTCAATCCATGCATTTAGTGAGGAGGAAGAGGCAGCAATATTAAATCAGAGCCTTGGTACTAGGGGCAATCCAGTAGAAGTGCCTTGATGGTTCTGTCCAAGCAGAGACAGGACCATGGTAAGTATGGAAACTTATTAAATCAATTCAGAGAGATACAATGCTCAGTATCTTTAAAGTTGTTAATTCTTTCATGTTACTGACTTGGGAGTAATCAAATGACTAGGTCTCATGCTGCCTGTGGAATTCTGGGAATTGAAGTCCACATGTCTTAAAAGTTGCTAAGCTTGAAAAACACTCAGAAGTACAACTTCTTGTGAGCCTGGGTTATTTTCCTGCATTTTGGGAATAAGGAAATTATCCTATTGTGCTTGGTGCAGAGATGCAGCTGAAATCTAGTTAGATGCTAATTGGAAGGTTAAAGCAGCAGATACAGATAGTCTTTGACTTCCAACTATTTGTTTAGCCTTCATTTAAAGTTACAACAGCACTGAAAAAAGTGACTTCTATTCCTTCCCTGTTTGGGTGGGGGGAGGGAAAGAGAGAGACAAGAGACACATACAGAAAGAGAAAGAGAGAGAGAGAGACAAGAGACAGAGAAAGAGGGAAGGAAAGAGAGAGACACAGAGAGAGGGAGGGAGGGAAAGAGAGAGAGAGACAAGAGACAGATGAGAGAGAGAGAAAGAAAAAGGGAGAAAGAAAAAGAAATGAGAAAGAAAGAGAGAGAGAGAGATACCTGTTTAAAAGAAAATAGAAAAATGGCTCTTTGAGTGTTTAAGTTTGCAGACCCCAGGTTAGGCAAACACCATGGTTGTTAAGTGAACCTTGTGGTTATTAAGCAAACACTGTGGTTGTTAAACAAGTCCATTTTCCCCAATGGGCATTTTTAACTGGAAACCAGAAGGAATTGTTGGAAACTGGCAAAAAAACATAGAAAACCTCAGTCACAAGACTGTGTGGGGTGTTGTAACTGGTCATAAGTGTGTGCATGTGCATGCATGCATGGCTGTCAAAACACCAAAAACAGGTCAAGTAGCTCTGGGGAGGTCAGTCGTAAATTAGAACACTTGCTAAGCAACTGGCCATTAAGCAAGGACCACTTATATTTGGTTTGGCTGTCACATGGCCACCTAGCCATGTCCAGCCAGTCACATGACCACCAAGCCACACCCACAAATTAGGCCATGCCCACAGAACCGGTTGTTAAGAAATTTGATTCCCACCCCTGGTATAGGGTTTCCTGCTTCAGCAGTTGGTTAGACTAGAAGACCTCCAAGGTCCCTTCCAACTCTGTTATTCTGTTATATAAATAACAAATCATCACAAGACAGTCTTCTCAGCCTGAGCTGGTGCCTTCCAAGGATTTTCCAGACACATTTATTAATATTGGCTGGGAATCAGGGGTGGGATTCTACTGGTTCTGTCCGGCTCTACAGAAGTGGTAGCTCTGAAGAGCAGCAGACACAGAACCAGTTCTGTGTCTGCTGCTGATTTGGCCTACCCACCCACCTGAGCTCTTACCTGTCCTTTATTTCCTGCTTTTTCAACCGTAGCTGCTTTGCACAGCACAGCTGCGGTTGAAAAAGCAGGAAAAAAGGGCTTTTCCAACCGCTGCGCACCCGCACGCAGTGCTGCTCAACTGTCCGGGCAGCTCAGCAGGTCATAAATTGCACGCGCATGACACAGAGCAACAGAACCGGTAGTTATACCTGTCAGATCCCATCCCTGCTGGGAATGGCAGTGCCACAAATTAAGTGGGTGCTGGGGTGGGGAAACCTATGTCCAGAAAATCAGTTGGCTCTCCAATTTTAGTTTCTTAACAGTGACAGCAGCCACACTGAAGTATAATTCTATTTTTTTGTCCAAAAATCCCCCATAGGCAGATACTTCCATTGCTATCAGCCATTTAACATGCTCATATAATGGCTTTGGACTGCTTCAAAAAGTATTCTTCCTTGGAAAAAGTCAACATGTGTTGATCACATGGTCATTCTAGGATGATAAGAAAGCCATTCATGTGCCAGGTTTTGCCATCTCCTTTGGTAAAGTTATTTGCACTGAAGGAATGACGGTAAAAGGTATGTAAATATATCTAGAAGTCAACATATGTCAATATAATATACAGCATCACAATCTGCACAGAATCCCATGCATGGAGATTAAGCACAGACAATGAAGGAAAGTCATTACAATTACCTCTTCAGTGTCTTCATCTGGATTCCCCTTCAGAGCACAAACATCCACAATACGCCAGCTGAAACAATTGTTCAAAACAAAGAAGAGTCAGTAAGAAAAGACACCCACCCACCCAATTGTTACCTGGATACAACAGCAAAGGGAATTCTGCTACTCTTGCCTTTCCTCCATGGAGCTTATGGGGATATTTCCATTGAGGAACAAAGCAACTCAAGAAGGTAGCTGAAGACTGAGTTTAAACCTTTCTAGGGAATGTCAAGAGTCATGGAGGAGCCTGAACCTTATGATGGCATATCAGACTACCTGCCTCTTCTTATGCACAGTGGGCCCAATTTTCAACCACACCTTTCTAAATCTTCAGTCTTTCCCCACTCATGTTAAAGCAAATAAAAGAAATGACTGCTTCAAAAACCTTTGTTCCAGAGTTCACAAATGTTCTTAAGCAGCCTTATCTCAATCTGCCCTTTTAATATGCAGTGGCATAATTTCAGGTGTAGACAAAACAGCTCATGCCAACTCATTCCTCCTGCTTTCTGTATGTACTAGGTTGCAACTCCACTCACACTTTGCAAAATCTCTTGTAAGATCTGCCATTTAAAAAAAAATCACTATTTGGAGAGTGTGTTGAGTGTTATTAAGGGAAAATGCCTGCTGATTGCCAATCCCCATATAACATATTCTATTAATTATAAAAATAAACGTATGTTGCTTCTCTAAGGATGAACTGAATGTCTTTCACTTCCAACAGCAAACTGGTGAAGTGGATGGCTGAAGATGATGAAACAGAACCAAGGGATATAGCTACAGATACATCTCCACTGTGTAACATTATGGCAGACACTGAAAGGGATTGCTGTTGCCATGATAGTATGAAAAAGAACACAGCAGAAAGAAAATGGTGTTTGAAGTATTTCACATTCTCTTTCCATGATTATCCCAACCTGCCCACCCTTGCTCTAATTCAGCTGAATTTTTCCCTCTTCTGATTTCTGGCCAAACAATAGAGAACTAGTGACTGAAATGTTGGATCTTTTAAATTAAAAGCATGCTGAGCTATGTCTCTTCCTAGAAAAGTACAGATGCATGCCCCACAGTCACATGACCACAATTTATATCTTTTTTTGTTCAAAACTGGTGTTTTACTTCTTGTTTCCAGCAAAAAAAAATGACCATAGAGAACAATGGGTTTGCTTACCAACTGCAACATCTGCTTTACAACTGCTGCAAAAAGGATAGCAAAATTGGGTCTGGTCACATGTTTTATGACTGTCATGATGTACCATGTTTTCCTGAAAATAAGACCCGGTCTTATTTTCTTTTGGGCTCTAAAAGAAGCACCAGGGCTTATTTTGGGGGGGATGACTTATTTTTTTCATCACAAGGCCCAGCCCGGCCGGGCACCTCACCCACCCACCCCTGCATGCACAGGAAGCAGTAAGCGCATGGAGGCCAGGTAGCAGCCACAGCCCACCAGGCCCCTTGGTCAGGGCACTCTGTGAAGTGACTCAAGTTTCACTCGGTGAGGGAGGAAGGCTTTGGAAACTCCCTTTTCATTTACATTCATCATCAATATTGTAATACATCCCTTTATTTTTCAAAAAGATGATTTGTATTTACCATGATTAGCCTCCTTAAATGCCAATGGGAAGGTGCGGTATGAATTCTGTGTGTGAGCTGCGAAATATAGACACTCATACCCTCAAAGCTCACAATGCTTCCTCGCTCGGGGCACACCACTGCTAAACTCTTCAGCTGCGGCAGGCTGCAGTTCCCATCACCTGCAGGAAGCCTGGGCGATGGAAACCTTAGGCCAGGTTCCTTGCAGCTGAAGCAATCCGGTTCACCCAGGGTCAGGTTGCCCATCGCAGGAGGCTCGTCCCACATGTGCGGTGGAGCTGTAGGACTGGGGTGGCACCATGCCACGGCCTCTGCGCACTCAGCCCCCACCTCCTGAGATGGCCAACCTGACCCTGGGCGAACCGGATTGCTTCATCTTTAGAAGGAGAAAGGTGGCATGGTCACAACTGAAGAACTAGGGAGACGCACGGGTGGCGAGGCAGGAGTGTGGCATGGGCCGGGGTCAGCCCTCCACCAGGCTGCAGCAGGGGGTAGAGGGAGGCAGGCACCCAAAGGGCATCAGCCTGAGTGCCTCGGATCAGCTGTAGCGTGTTGTGGAGAGCATAGCTGATGTGCAAATGGACTCCGCTGCGGCGGTGGTGGCAGTGCTCTGGTGCCTGGACAGCCGGGATGGCCCCACTTCTCACTCGGCTACTTTCCCTCTCTCTATTCCCTGCTCCTCCTCCTCCTTCGCAGCTGCTGCCTCTGCTTTCCATCTCTCCATTGCAGCATAGCACCTAGGATCCACTTTGACAGCAGCAGGGTTTTGGGGGTGGTTAGGGTTAACACCCATTCATGGTGTTGCCGCCAACCACAGAGACAAGGAAGGTAGAAGGCAATCCCACCCACCAGACTAGCTTGGTGGGGGTGGGGTGGGAAACTGAGCAGCGCCAAAAACAGCTTAAAGTGTGGCACTGAAGTTTTGACTGCTGGGCAGGACCTCTCCCACCAGAAGCTTCTTCCCTACTTCCCATCCAGAGCAAATTGCCGTTGTGTAGTAAGTCCCGGAACATTGTGGGAAGCACGTATTTAGAGGCACAGCCTCTCCCAGTAATGAGAATTGCATGCAACATTGCCCCTTTCAAACAATCTTCTAGGGCTTGAACACCACACTTTAAGCTGTTTTTGGCACAGGTAAGACCCAGCCTTCCTCATTCCCAACTATAATCTTCTAAAACATGGATCTCCAACCTTTTGGCTTGCCTAGGCTGCATTGAGTGCAGAGGCATACAAAATATACACTGCTCAAAAAAATAAAGGGAACACTTAAACAACACAATGTAACTCCAAGTCAATCACACTTCTGTGAAATCAAACTGTCCACTTAGGTAGCAACACTGATTGACAATCAATTTCACACGCTGTTGTGCAAATGGAATAGACAACAAGTGAAAAGCATAGGCAGTTAGCAAGACATCCCCAAGAAAGGAGTGGTTCTGCAGGTGATGACCACAGACCACTTCTCAGTTCCTATGCTTTCGGGCTGATGGCTTGGTCACTTTTGAATGCTGGTGGTGCTTTCACTCTAGTGGTAGAATGAGACGGAGTCTACAACCCACACAAGTGGCTCAGGTAGTGCAGCTCCTCCAGGATGGCACATCAGTGTGAGCTGTGGCAAGAAGGTTTGCTGTGTCTGTCAGCGTAGTGTCCAGAGCATGGAGGTGCTACCAGGAGACAGGCCAGTACATCAGGAGAAGTGGAGAAGGCCGTAGGACGGCAACAACCCAGCATCAGGACCGCTACCTCTGTCTTTGTGCAAGGAGGAGCAGGAGGAGCACTGCCAGAGCCCTGCAAAATGACCTCCAGCCGGCCACAAATGTGCATGTGGCTGCTCAAACAGTCAGAAACAGACACCATGAGGGTGGTATGAGGGCCCGACGTCCACAGGTGGGGGTTGTGCTTACAGCCCAACACCGTGCAGGAAGTTTGGCATTTGCCAGAGAACACCAAGATTGGCAAATTCGCCACTGGTGCCCTGTGCTCTTCACAGATGAAAGCAGGTTCACACTGAGCACATGTGACAGACGTGACAGGGTCTGGAGATGCCGTGGAGAACGTTCTGCTGCCTGCAACATCCTCCAACATGACTGGTTTGGCAGTGGGTCAGTAATGGCGTGGGGTGGCATTTCTTTAGGGGGCTGCACAGCCCTTCATGTGCTCACCAGAGGTAACCTGACTACCATTAGGTACCGAGATGAGATCCTCAGACCCCTTGTGAGACCATATGCTGGTGCGGTTGGCCCTGGGTTCCTCCTAATGCAAGACAATGCTAGACCTCATGTGGCTGGAGTGTGTCAGCAGTTCCTGCAAGATGAAGGCATTGATGCTATAGACTGGTCCGCCCGTTCCCCAGACCTGAATCCAATTGAGCACATCTGGGACATCATGTCTCGTTCCATCCACCAACGCCACGTTGCACCACAAGCTGTCCAGGAGTTGGGGGATGCTTTAGTCCAGGTATGGGAGGAGATCTCTTAGGAGACCATCTGCCACCTCATCAGGAGCATGCCCAGGCATTGTAGGGAGGTCATACAGGCATGTGGAGGCCACACACACTACTGAGCCTCATTTTAACTTGTTTGAAGGACATCACATCAAAGTTGGATCAGCCTGTAGTGTTTTTTTCCACTTTAATTTTGAGTGTAACTCCAAATCCAGACCTCCATGGGTTGCTAAATTTGATTTCCATTGATAATTTTTGTGTGATTTTGTTGTCAGCACATTCAACTATGTAATGAACAAAGTATTTAATAAGAATATTTCATTCATTCAGATCTAGGATGTCTTATTTTTGTGTTCCCTTTATTTTTTTGAGCAGTGTATATTGTTAATGTTAAAAGTTTATGATCTTGTGGGGCCACATTACTAGCTGTGCAGGGCCGCATTCAGCCTGTGAGCCACAGGTTAGACACACCTGCTCTAAAAGCCTACAATAAAGAAATTATTTTTCATTGGGTCTAGGTCTATTAGGCGCTGACCCTTGGCCGTGCCCACTTCTCTCCCAGCCCCCTGCCCACAGCCTCTGCTGGCCTTCCACCAGTACTCCACTCCTGCCAATGACACCCCCCACCCGGCCCTTTGTCCCAGCCAATTCCCCGAGGCACATTTTTACCTGGATGATTTGGTGCACAGGAAAAGTAGCCACACCTCCCAGCAGCAAATTGGGTGGCGGGTGATAGCTGTGGGTGGCGGTGGTGCTGGGCAGGAGCGGACAGCTGGTGATTGCAGAAGTACTGGAGAAAGCCATGTGTGTGCACTTATATTTTTTCTTTGCCTCTTGATGCTGTTTCTCTCCTTGTCCAACCTGCCCCAAATTCTCAGTTTCCTCAATTGAAGGCTGGCTAGGTTGCAGGGACCAGGGTTTTAGGATCCAGCTCATTGATCGCTGCGGCAGGACAGAAAAAAGATCTTCCCACTTGGGATAAAAGGTTCCTTCCTTCCTCTCTGTTTCTCTCCCTCCTCCCTTGCTGCCTCTCTTTCTTCCTCTCTTTTGCTTCCTTCTTCCTTTTCTTTCCTTCCTCTCTTTCTCCCTTCCTTCCTTGGAAAAGGAAAAGAAAGTGAGGAAGGGTTGGAAGGAAGGAAAAGAGGAAGGAAGGAAGAGAGGTAGGGAGGGAGAGAAACAGAGGAAGGAAGGAAAAGAAAGAGAAGGAAGGAAAAAGGAAAGAAGGGAGTCCAAGAGTCTGCTCTCCAAGATACCTTGAAATAACAGACAAGGTGTTCCATGATCCTCCCCTCCTCCCCACCCTTTCCTCCCTTGCTGCAGCCATCCTTCGAGGAAACTGAGAATTTGGAATGGCTTGGAGGAGGAAAGGCAAAGAAAAGTGCACTCCCACCCCAGCTTTCTCCAGTGCTTCCACAATCGGATGCCACCCAGCTGCAACTGCCCGCCGCCCATTCATGCCCCGTGTCTCCTCATACACCCACCACCACCCCCTCAGCACCTCTGCATTGCTGCCACCTGCAGCCACCTGCTGTCCAATTGGCTGCTAGCAGGCATGGCTACTTGTCCCATGCAGCAAATTGCCTGGGTAAAAATGTGTCTCAGGGAATCAGCCAATACAAAGTGCTGGGGGTGGAGCCATTGGCAGGAGAGGAGTGCCAGTGGAAGGCCAGAGGATGAAAGGCTGCTGTGAGTCAGTTGTGGTGGTGGTGATCTGGGAGAGAAGTGGATGTGGCCAAGGGTTGGTGCCCAATAGTCCCATTCCATTTTCTATCAAGCTGCTATACCTTATGAAATTTCCCTCCCAATGGAAATGTGGCCTCCATAATGGAAAAACAAAATTTTGTAAGGCTGCCAGCGTAAGGAACATACTAGCTCCATTTCCTTTTCCTGGGAAGTCCTTCACTCTCTCAAATTTGACTGGAGACCTATATTCTGTAACTTATTTAGCAGAATGCTTAACCTGATCTTAAGAGAGTGGCTTTGTTTATAGGCCACTGAGGGAGCATTGGTGGTCTTGTAGATATTATTTAGTTGTTTAACTAGCATCCTTTATTTACAGAGCTAACTAAACCTGTGAATATACCTTGGTGTAAGAATTTCTTTGTATTGAAGTTTTTCTACCCTGGTTGTTGCAGCAACAGACATTGGTATGACAATGTTGTTAATGTCAAAAGAGCTTTCCCCTCTTCTCCTCCTTGGCTGCTGCTGCAAAATAATGCAGAAAACAATAGTGAAAATCAGACAGTGATATGAAGAGGGAAAAATTTCAGAACTAACTTATAACACCAAGAAAGAAAGGACAAATGTTCTTGTCTTTTAATCTAGTGATTTAACAGGAAAGTGGCTGCCTCCAAGAGCTCAACGTTTGAAACAACCAAAGGCTAGAATATAAAGTCAACATACACTGAATTACTTGTTTATGCAAAGAAGATAACAATCCTAGGATAATTTCTGAATACTGATTAGATGAAGGTTTTTCCATTTAGGATGTTTGGAAGAAAAATCCTTGGGTATCTGAAGAAGCATGCAGCTTGAGGAAAAGGAGTAAATTTAGCATCTCTAGGCCATTCTAGAGAATCTGAATGGACAATGCCTTACATATACAACTTTACATAGGTAAAGGTTTCCCATGTCCAGTCATGTCCAGCTCTAGGGGGTGGTGCTCATCTCCATTTCTTAGCCAAGGGAGCCAGCTTTGTCTGAACATGCTTCTGTGGTCATATGGCCAGCATGACTATATGCTGAGGCACATGGAATACTGTCACCTTCCCATCAAAGTGGTACTTATTTACCCACTTGCATTTGCATGCTTTTTAACTGCTAGGTTGGCAGGAGCTGGGGCAAAAACAGACGCTCACCCCATCATGCAGTGCTTGGGTCTTGAACTGCCAACCTTCTCATCAACAAGCCCAGCATCTTAACTGCTAGGCCACCATGCTTTACCCTCTGTATAATGTAACCAGTTTATACAACATGTATTCAAAGAAAACCTCTCTTCCAGACAGCCTATCTACCTAAAATTCCTAAAATGTGCACTATGTTCCTACTTCTAATATTCATACTCTGCATATGTAACGCCACCATCATAACATTTAAAACAAGGGCTTGTGACTCCTGATTTTTGCCTAAGATGCTACAGACATCTTCAGGAACTCCTTTGACAATACGATCTGTGACTCAGTGGGTGCCATATTGTGGCAGATCTATCTTTTCCTTTCAGCTGTTTCATAGTGAACAGGGTTTTGAACGCATTCCTTAAGGCAGTGTTTCTCAACCTTGGCAGCTTGAAGATGTGTGGACTTCAACTCCCAGAATCCCCAGCCAATCTGGAAGTTGAAGTCTGCACATCTTCAAATTGTCACCATTGGGAAACACAATCTTAAGAAGATTCTCAGACTCTGCTCTGTTGATATAGAAATTTATACCAAACTATAATACCCATTTAATACAGTTATTCATTTGCTTCATTTTTATTGTACCATTCACCTATACTCAAGGTATCTTTATTACTGCTCTAAATGCTTGGTGCAGAATATACTTAGATCTTTCTTTTTGGTATCAACAAGCTTAGAAGACAGGGTTATGACTTAGTAACAGGCATTTATGAAAAAATAGCCCATTATGGGAAAATTTGAAAGCAACCTTATTACATTTCAAACTTTTAAAATAGTATCCAACTTGGGAAACAAATCAGACATGAAAATATACCAAAAACAATACTACCAATAAACATGTACTGATACTCTTCTTTACTGATGACCCGCCCCCCCCCCCCCCCCCGAATAAAGAGGATAAAAACCAAGCACATGCAACTACTGGATTGTTACGCACACACAAATATTGGCACTGACTGGCCAAACAAAAGGCCCTTGGCCTGCATCAATGGACTTACTATTATGTAGGTACCTGAGAGGTCCAACAAAGTATGAACTAATAGGAGCTACTAAGGGCAGACGTGCAAATTTCTTGACTCGGTTCTTGCTTGCAAACTCATACAAAGGTACTGATATGGAGACCAAAGTTAAAAGTGTGTGAGATTCCATTTGCCTCTGTCTCAATTAGTGACACTGAAGTTATTCATGCACATATTTAGATATTTATACCTTAGACCAGCTTTTTCTAAATCGTTTCTTCTAGAAGCACTGGGTCTGTAGCAGAGGTGGCCAGTAATGTTGAACATCTTGTCCCTATGCTATTCATCATTCTGGATGGGATTGCATTCTTAATAAAAGAGTAAGATCACCATTTGGAAGAGCTCCTTGACACCTTCAACTATCTCTGGATTTTCAGGTGGTCTGAGCGGTAAGGAGTATGGTCATTCAATCACAACTAATACACAAGAGAATGTCTCTGAGCTGCCTAGATCTAGCAACGATTATCTACTTCATGGTTATACTACGATGTCTTCTCTTGAGTGTCTGGAGGCTGTAACTGGTACAAACTGCAACAGCTAGGTTTCAAACTGATACACAATATCAAAAGCAGTGGTGGGATTCAACCGCTTCACATCTATTCACTAGAACAGTTTGTTAACTTTCGGAGCAGTTCGAAGAACCAGTTGTTGGAAGAAATCTCCTTTTTGTCAGCGTTCCAGCAAATCTCCATTCCAACCAGTAACTCCGAGACAAACATATCTCAGAAGTACCTTTATTAGAATAGTACCTGGCACATCTGTGGAATCCCAAATCTAAAAGTTTTCAGGCTTTCCACAATTTACCAAACTACAAATCCATCCCCCCTTGGTCGTCATCACATCACATGGCCCAATCATGATCTGTCCAAAAGTAAGATCCTTATTTCATCCTGCGCCATACTCAATGACCTTGAACTAACAAAAGAATTTTATTTTGTCTACTTAGAGCTACTTAATTGAAATCACCCCCCTCCCACTTTCTCAGGCTATGTGGCAGCATGGAATATGGCTTCCAAAGCTGACAGGCATCCCCCTTGAGAAATTCACTTCCTAAAAGAGATAATAAACAAAACACAACCAGGGGTTAATGTGATGCCCTTAACCCCCACCCCCCACCCCTCCAAGGGGACCCTTTGGTTTCTCAGGAAATTCTTCATGGAATTGGTTAACCAATCTATCTGCATGTACATCCCAACTCTTTACCCAAGTAGCATCTGACAAAGGGTAACCTTTCCATAATACCAAATATTGTAATCTCCCTCGGTGTAATCTAGAATCGAGGATTTTCTTTATTTCATAAAATGTCTCACCCTGTACGATTAAAGATTTGAGGGGAGCTGCTGGTATCGGCCTTAGATTCAACCCTACAGCAGGTTTCAATAAACTACTATGGAACACCGGGTGTATTTTCCCCAATAGCCAAGGGACACTTAATTGGACCATCACTGGATTTATTATTTTTGATATAGGGAATGGACCTAAGAATTTAGTGCCCAACTTCCTACTGGGAAGTTTCAATTTGAGATATTTAGTTGACAAAAACACTTTATCCCCTACTTTAAATGGCGGTTGGAGGGATCTAGGTTTGTCTGCTTGGAATTTATATTCCTCAGCAGCTTCAGTCAAAGCTTTTTTTGTATCCTCCCAACCTTTCTTTAACGAGTCCATCCACTCTGTTGAAGACATGGATGTTGGGGGTTCCCTAGGTAATTCCGGCATAGGGACAAATTCCATGCTGGTGTTGATTTGGAATGGAGTCAAGCCTGTGCTGCTGTGTACTGCATTATTGTAAGCAACTTCTGCAAATGGCAACAGCTCCGCCCAGTTCTCCTGTTGATAATTTACATAGCATCTAATGTATTGTTCCACCATGGCGTTCACTCTCTCCGCTGCCCCGTTGCACACAGGATAGAATGCTGAGAAAAGCCCTTGGGACAACCCAATGGACTTCAAAAACTCCCTCCAGAACTTAGCAGTAAACTGTACACGTCAGTCTGCGATTACTCTATGAGGTACTTCGTGGAGCCTATAGATATGCTTCACGAACAGTTTCGGAAGTTTTTTAGCTGAAGGTAGTCCGTTACAGGCTGTAAAGTGGGCTTGCTTAGAGAATAAATCGATAACATTCCAAATCACGGTATTTCCTCCATTCTCAGGTAACTCTACGATAAAGTCCATTGCGATTTCTTCCCAAGGCTTCGTTGGTTCAGCTACTTGTTGGAGGAGGCCAGGGGGGTTTCCAGTTCTGTGTTTCATCATGGCACAAATTGAGCAGCTTTTCACATAGTCCTTGACATCAGGTTTCATTTTTGACCACCAGAACTGTCTCCTGACTAAATGCAGGGTTTTTAAGAACCCAAAGTATCCCCCCAACCGCAAGTCATGGCTACACTTCAGTACCATTAGTCTTAGAGTATTGGGTACATAAATTTTTGTCCCTTTCCAAGCTGATCCTTCATTCATTGTCAAATAGGTTTGATGTTCAACAAACCAGGACACCAGGTCAAAAGGGCTGCTTTGAACTCAGTTGTCAGTTTGTCTTCTAGGCGTCTGGGACTGCGGTTGGCTAGCCCTCGGGTGGTTACTTGGCCTGCGGGTTGGGCTTCTGATATCATAGTTTGCACTACCTACTCTCAGCGACTGTCAAATTGGGGTTTTCTTGACAGGGCATTCGCCAGTATGTTTCCCCCCCCGGGATATATTTCATGTTAAAGTTGAACCTCTTGAAGTATTGAGCCTAGTGGACTTGTTTAGGCTTTCAAGGTGTCTTTAGAGCCTCGAGGTTCTTGTGATCAGTCCACATCTCAAAAGGCTCCTTCACTCCTTCCAGGAAATGCCTCCAATATAGTAAAGCCTGCACACTGCAAACACTTCTTTTTCCCAAACCGCCCACCTACGCTCTGTGTCTGTCAACTTTTTGGACTCATAAGTGCAAGGCATTAGCTGGTTTTTAGAGTTCTTCTGGAGAAGAATCGCCGCGACAGCCACGTCACTAGCATCAGCTTGGACTATAAAAGGTTTGGTCAGGTCCAGGTGCTGGAGGATGGGCTCAGTGGCAAATAGGTGTTTTAAAGTTTCAAAAGATTTCTGACAGTCCATTGTCCAAGCAAGGAGTTGATTGGGTTTTGTTTTGGTCAGGGAAGGCCCAGTTTTCAATGACTCTGTTAAAGGGAGGGCAACCTCGGCAAATGAAGGAATAAATTGTCTATAGAAATTTGCAAAACCCAAAAAACTTTGAAGTCTTTATGTGTTCTGGGGGGTTGCCAGTCTAGCACCACTCACTTTTCCACGG